GTGTTGAAACGAGGAAAAAATCTCTTATCTAATTGTACCTTGATAATTTTATGACATTAGAATTTTATGATACTAGAATTTCATTATCTATCCCATTTATGTCATTTAAAAGAATATGGAAAAAATTATTTCATCCTACTTTACATTTAATTAAAATCCTCTTTAATTATATTACTATCGTTAAAAATTCTATCGTTAGGAGACAAATTTTCTAGAAATATTAACATAATATAAAAACTCTCTAGAGACATTTCCAATCGAAAAGAAAAGCAAGATTGAGACACGAATAAATCAAAGATTGTATTAGAGCAGTATTTTATGCGTTGAGACACGTTATAACAGTAATTTTGTACAATTTTCTTTGTATAATATAGGTATAATTAAAAGTAACTATATTATTTATAACATGTATTCTCTATAAGTGAACAACAAACATTCTCAATGAATATTACCATTTTCAATTTTGAAATATTTCGCTATCAATCAAAAATTAATCCACGCCTTGGGAATTATACTTATAGAGTCTCCTTACGATTGTTTTTTTACAAATCTCATTGCCAGTGAAGGGAAGATTTGTCAAAGAACAGTTCCTATTATTCTATCACTTTCAAACGCTTGGTTTTGGCTGCGGCTAAAATTTCCTAAAATTTCAGGAAGGGACGAGTATTGTGTTCAGGTCAGAGGATCCCATTTAGAAAGGTCAAACCTTCTACTTTTAGGAAACGAACAACCCTTATAAAACGAGACCTAGAAATCCTGATGCACTCAGTTCTCTGTTAGATTTTCAAGGATGAAGGCCCTAGTGTTCTTGTTATTTTTCACTGCTGCACGATGTATGCCCATCACACGACAAATGAAATTCGAAAGTAAGTTTCATTTATAATTTACTGCGACTGTTTGTTAGTAACAGTGCTCAATAAATTTTAACAAGGTCAATATAAGTGAGTACGTGCGTTTAGAACGCGCACGTGTGTATGTTTGTGTATATTGTACACAATATAATTCCTTCCTTTCCTTTGGAAGCGTAATATTTAAAAATATAGACAACATTTAATCGTTATATCACTATGTATAATAATTAAAACGAATTTTTAATATTCGTTATCTTAATACTTAAAAATTCGAATATTTTTTTAAAATATTAAGTTTATCATTTAATTTATCGCTTGTAAGACGAAAAGTATATATTAATATTAAATCAGTAAAATTTATTGAAAAATCAGTTTAATATTGGAATTAATTAAAAATTGAAAATTATATTTAGTAATAATAAGATTAATTATTATTATAATCGTATAATTACTATAATTTATATTTAATTGTTCAAATATTGATTATAAATAAAACTAATTAAATTTTATTGATCTGGTGCGTATAACTTTTTCCATAATAAACGATAAATTAAATTAAATAATAGTGAAATTTAATTAAAAATAGTTTAATTGTTTCATATTAAAAACATCTTTAAATTTAATAAATTTTCAAAAGACGATAAAATAGCTGAAACTATGGAGAGTGACAATGAGTATGACACAAAAAAGATTGTACCACTTCCATACCGAAATAAAGAAAGGCAAGTCAATTTTAACCTGCACCTTTTTTTGAACAATACTTCTATCGATATTGACGTTCTAATGACTTACCGCGAATTCTTTTTCAGTGTGAAAACGCCATTGGATTATGTTAAAACCCAAATTTCTAATTATATCGATCATCATTTACGTAAATCCATTTGGCTGAAAATGGACACATCGCAAGAAATGGGCACACTAAATTGTTACTTGTGAAAACAGCAAATCTTATTTACATGAAGTGTGTGTGTGTGTGTGTGTGTGTGTGTGTGTGTGTATGTGTGTGTGTGTGTGTTTGATGATAAAATTTCTACTAGAAATCTAATATTTTTAATATAGATGTTTAATTCAAATGATATTTTTATAAAAATTTGTAATCAAATTAGGAAAATGAATTACATAGATAAAAATACGTTATGCTATAGTCTGAGTTGATAATAATTATAACGATGAAACTTTCGTTTCTTTCATATTTACAAAGTAAATTATGTAAATATATAACTATTTATATGACTATTTGAATAGAA